AAAGAGAAGCGAAGGTTACATTTCTTAAAAAAATTTTTAACAAAAACAGTAACCGTATGTGAAAAAAGCCTTGTCGAAACGTTGTACATTTGCTGTCATGTTAAGCTTATATTAAAGTTTTTCTTCATTACCCATTTAAGCCGTCACCACCAATTATTAGTCTCAAAGTGGGTTCCTCGTCATCGAATTTAATATCTGATAAGTTATAGAGTGAATGAAGTATATGAATGTTAGGTAATATCTGATAAGTTATAGAGTGAATGAAGTATATGAATGTTAGGTAATATCTGATAAGTTATAGAGTGAATGAAGTATATAAATGTTAGGTAATATCTGATAAGTTATACAGTGAATGAAGTACATGAATGTTAGGTAATATCTGATAAGTTCTAGGGTGAAGCACACGAATGTTAGATAATATGTGATAAGTTATAGGGTGAAGTACATGAATGTTAGGTAATATCTGATAAGTTATAGAGTGAAGTACACGAATGTTAGATAATATCTGATAAGTTATAGAGTGAAGTACATGAATGTTAGATAATATCTGATAAGTTATAGAGTGAAGTACATGAATGTTAGATAATATCTGATAAGTTATAGAGTGAAGTACATTCATTCACTCCTAACCATAATTCTCTATCTTTTTTTTATTCCACTTCACAATATTAGGATTGAATACAGCAAATATATCTGTTTTGTGGGTTCTATTTGCTCTAATGTTACTGTAGCTTTCGCCCTTCTACTATTTATTTCTCGTACTAGTGAGACACACAGTCGTTAGATTAAATGTGATAGTTTACTCCAAAAATACAGAGTTTCCTTCGGAAAGCCTTCTTATTTTACGATAACAAACAGGTGACGGATGTATTATTTGTATACACCTTTATCATTGCCTTTTTATTTCCAATCAAATCGATGAGCTTGGGTTTTCCTTAGCTGTTGAGGACATGATTTCCTCTACCAATCACTTACTGTTATTTGTTACTGTCAGATTGCATTAGTTTGTCTTACAATATGATCCTACGTGTGACGGTATTTCATATCGTCCCACGTGATGTTTGAGAGATGTGAGAGCAGTTTTTACGTTATTGGTTCTATAAAAATATACAGATAGATAGACAGATAGATGAAAAACGTGAACTAATCTATAAAATTGATCACAAGACATTTTGCTAGCTAGCTAACGTCACTATTTTATAAATAGTATCATTAATCGCTAGTGAGCTATGTTTTCTTTTTCACATTAAGAATATTTGAACTTCTTTACCTATAAAAATGCAACAGTAAAAAAAAAAGTATTGCGAAATTAAGGAAGATAAGACAGCAATAGAAAAACGTTTCCTGACTAACGAAATATTGAGTATGATTTGATAGTATTCACTACTTGGTCAATGCCAATCA